TGAGATAGTAGCCTAATTGACATAATTTCTCAAGATGATTTTCAAGCAAGCCGGATCAAATGACTAAAGTAGATTTGTAGATGACTCATTTTTTGCTCTCCTGTTATTAGATTAAATGTAAAAGTCAAGGAATGGCGTTAATGATTGATTAGATTCATCTTTTTCTAATTACAGGGGTCACGTGCTCATGAACTTTATTTTTAATTAATTTATTTTACTTTTAAAATAGTCATTTCCAGGCCTGAAAATGAGGAAAATCAGATCAGTAGAAATTTCATAATGAATATACCGAATATATAAACTAAATATACAGACTGAAACTGTGAGTTTAAAATATTAAAATAAGTAGGTATTTCTCTCTCAGTGCAATGTGTGTAAGCATTATTTTTTATTAATATTCATCCAATAATACTTACCTGAATGACTGGGGACAAAGTAATTTGTCAAAGGAAAAATAATTCAGATAAATATCAAATTAATTAATTAAATAATAAAAAACAATTAAAATAATAAGTAAAAAAATAATGTATCATTTAGGGATGCTCCGATCGATCGGCCGGAGATCGGTATCGGCCGATAATCATATTTTATGACTCGATCGGTACTCACTAACTTGGCCGATCTCAGGAACCGATCGCAATTTGATGACGCGTGACGACGTACATGATGCGTGGGGACATAAATGATTTGGCGCCGCAGTCATGTCATCGCCGGTGTGGAAATGCTATGACGTTTCGAGAAACGATGAAAAATTTGCTATTTGTCATGTATGTTTTGCATGATGATATGATGAATGGATGATTCATTTTTAACAGCAGATTCAGTGACGTTAGAGCTGATCTGTGCCTCGCTGCACACGTCTGTGGCGTGTTACGGCTCCACGGCTACCGGAGCTGATCGTGGCCGCTCTAGTCAGTGCTTGTGTTTATCAGCCAGCCGCACGTTTCTGTAGCGGCTCTCCGCGCTGCTTGGTTAAAAATAGTCTTTTGTGAGGTGTCACAGCGTGGAGGACGGGACAAAAACAGAGGTTTCCCCAGTAACAGCTGTACACAAAGCAGCGCTGAGCTCACAAACGCTGCTTTATCAGGCATATGACATGCAAGATGAAATTAAAATGACATTGAACATTTTCTAAAGGTAGTATTCCTACAGAAATACAATGATATAAAAACACCCGCACCTCGTTTTGATTTTTAAACGTGCAGTACGTGCTCATGTTTATTCAAACCAAGCCTTTTGGAAATTGTTTTGAAAAGTTTTTAAATTGTGGTGAGTGCCACAAATAAATTAATGTATGGGAAACACATCCCACAGCACAACCACCTGAGCCCAACTTCAGTCTACTTATCACCTTAACTTTAACTGCGTTTGTAGCCGGCGCCATAGCCAGACTGATAAACAAACACAGACCGGAAGTTAACTTCGGGCCAGGTGCGTGCGCCCGATGAAACGGTCTATATAAAGCTTGAAGCATCAGAATCGGCATCGGTATCGGCCGATCACCATGACAAGAAATCTGTTCTCCGTATCGGCTGCAAAAATCTTGATTGGAGCATCCCTAGTATCATTTATTAAAATCAAAATTTATTAAATGAATTAATAAAAAATTATTTGTGTGTGTTCCACAGACGAGGATGACCTGGACGAGGAGTTGTCAGAAAATGATGCCCCGAAGGTGAAAAAGAAGAAGAAAGCCAAAAAAAGCCGCGAGGGCAAAGGCAGCAAGAGAAATCGCTCCCGGAGAGAGGTAATGGCCTTTTCTTTGTGTGTGTGGATATTGTTTGCAGTATTCACTGTCCTTGTGTTATGGATTAGAAACCTCCCCCACAGTGTCTTAATGAGAAACAGAGCAATTTACCGGGCGTCGCAAATGGGATAGCATGTCCTAATGACTGTTAAAGGGGTGGTTGATTGCGATTTCACTTTTTTAACGTTAGTTAGTGTGTAATGTTGCTGTTTGAGCATAAATAATATCTGCAAAGTTGCGAAGCTGAAAGTTCAATGCAAACAGAGATATCGTCTTTTAAAATTCTGGCGGTTTAATGCCTACAAAAACGGCTGGTAGGGACTACAACGAGTTACTTCCCGGGTTCGTGACATCACAAACCCTGATAAACCCCACCCTCGGGAAAAGGCAGCAAAGGGGGCGAGGCCATGCTGTGCTGCTTTAGAGAAGAGGAAGAGAAAACTAGAAGTGGAGGTAAAAATCTTTTCATGAATGAATCGCGATTCTGTCTTCTAACGATTCTAATGGATTTACAAGTTTCAAAATCAATGTTCTAAAGCAGCGGTTCTTAATACTGTTCCTCGCGTCGCCTGCTCTGCATCTCTCTCTCTCTCTCTCATTCAGATCATCAGCGCAGCTCTGTTCCATTTATACACTTATTTTCACATAGCTATGAGAAGCGTTATACATGGTTATACACCATGCGAAGCGTTATACTCGTGTGCAGTTGCCGTACTGTATTAAAGCTTTAATCAGGATAAAACCGTATATTAAAAGCTAACATAAGCAGTTGCATTTACAAATAACAGCATATCTAAAAGTATGAGACAACAACAAACAAAAAACATAGGCAAAAAAACAAGAAAAAAATCAGCCCGTTTCTCAGAGAAGGGACAGGACGGTGAGGAATAAAGGTAAATTATGTGGAAAATAATGCGTAAAAAAACAAAACAAAGCATTAACACATGTTAGACTGCACCCCATAAACACAATCAAGCCTAGAAAAAAACCAGTGAACCACCCCTTTAATACCAAAGGTACATAATTAGTGGTCGACCGATATATCACCTTGACCGATATTTGGCATTTTTCAAATATCGGCATCGGCCGATAAGTTTTCCTGTTTGGCCGATGTGTTCGTGGCGGAACTTTTATTTTGACGGCGCTGAAAATGGCAGCGCCTGAACACACAGTGCTCACATTCTCCCGCTTGTTCACTGTCGTCGTTAACAGTTCTGTCCACAGACAGAAGTCTGTCTAATAATCAGATAGAACTGTTAAACAAAGGAATTAAAATGTATACACAAGTATTATAACGATTGCTTATTATTAGTAATAGAAAGGCAAATATTATAATACTTTCTTGTTTGCCGTCAGCATTCAGCAAATATGCATTTATATAATTTAAACAAATCTTTGAATGACTAATGAACATCTAATTTCAAAAACCTTGCAAACTTAGTCGAATCCAGCTGTGAGATCTTATGAAGTGTGCATTTGTATCCTGCACGATCGCGTGTACTCTGCATGACGGTTGGTGCGTGCGAATTGAATACGGACAGGAGGAGAGTTCAGCTTCATTGGGACGCGCTATCGACAAACTTTAAACTCGTGATTTCAAATTTTGCTGTGCTTCATGCTTTTGCCCACTGTCATATTCATGTCATTTTCATGGTGTGCTGTATGTAAAATGAGTGTTACCTTGGCTTTATTTGAAAAAATGTGATTCCCAATGCACACAAACTTCCCAGAATACTGAGTGCCCTGTTGGTTACAGTGTGTACTTCCTTTTTAATTATATTTTTATTAAATGTTTGTTTATTTGTGAAAAATATTTTGTCATTTAAAGTATAAGCATGTTTATTTTACACATTTATTTTTTTAATCCATTTCCAAATGATTTCAAATTTCTTAAATATTAAATAAAATTATATCGGCTTTATATCGGCCACCGGCCACCCTGCTTTCCAAGATATCGGCATCAGCTGTCAAAAAAACAATATAAATAATAAAAAATTTTTTGGCCACTGAATCCCGATCCGACTGCTTTATTAATAATACCTACAGCTGTTGTGTTCAATAGGCTGAGTGCTTTTGTTGTATTTATAACACAGCCATTACCAGATTTAATTTGTGCAGAATCTCATTCTTGACTAGCTGGTCAAGTGATCCCTTTATTTTATTTAAAATACTGAACACAATATAAAGTAATCAAGTTTTGGTCTTGTAAGACAAGCTAAGTCATTTAATGTAAAGATCGCAAACTGGTTTTGTAACGTCATAAGTGGTTGTTAAGATAACTTCATATAAAAGCGAGCTCGTGCACAACTTAGATGGGACCTTTGTTTGCTTGAGAACTGAGACAGTGTTGCTACTGTCATAATAGTAATAATAGTTAATGCTAGAGAAATGCTGGAAGCCTAAAATGATTACTAGGCAGCATTTTTTTAAGTTTTACATTTATCATGACTGCTTTGTCATTGGCTTTTATCTAGTGCTGCCAATCGAAAAAAAAAAAAGATTTTTAAAAATGTTTAATCATTAAAAAAAATTTAATTAAAAAAGAATTTATCGCACTTTTTTTTCTAATGTTAGGTGGGATTAATCGTGATTAATCCCACCTAACATTAAAGTTTTGAAATATACTTTTATATTGCAATAATTTCACATTCAATCTTCAAATTAATGTAGAAACAACATAAAGACAGTATATTTTTAGTATTTGTTTAGTGGCATATTTTTTATGACTGAAGGCGAGTATCTGATACCAATAATATTAGATTGATCGGCTACCGATCACTATAGGCCGATAATCACGTTGGGATATTTGATCGGCGGTCTCTAAAAAGGCCGATCGCAAAAAAACTATCTCAAGCTGATGACGCTGCCGTGAGAGGTTTGGCACGACATGCAGCGTCACCGTCTCAGTCTCTGTAATACCACCAGTATAGAGTAGTGCGGAAGCTGTGTGGAGTTCCGATCATATGCAGATGTCCGTTCATACTAACATTACACGACCGAAAGCGCGTGTTATGTGACCATTAACGGACATCTAACATTACACGACCGAA